TCTGCCTCGGAAGACGTCCTCAGGTTCTCTGCCACCCCCGCTTTCCTTGTTCGGGGCAAGAGCCGCCTCTTCTGGGGGGCCTCCTCTGACTGCTGCACCCCAGAGAGACCCAGGGGCCAGGTCTGAGCCCGTGCGCTCCAAACTGCCGTCCAATCTATGAGCTGGCCCGCCTCGCCTCCTGTTCTCCCTTCTAACTCCCCTCCTTCAGGTCTAACTGTGATTAGGAGATATACCAATAACAGTAATAATTACCATTAAAACCCACACACCAGAAAGGCAAGACAGCAGAAAATAACCAGGTACCCTTAGAGCTATAGATTTTTGGTCACTTGCTTTTATAGACTATTTTCACACTCAGCACTGGGTGGGGTGGGGTGGGTGGGGTGGGCAGGGCCCAAAGGCCCGAAGCCTGGGGAAGGCAGGTGGGGCCTCAGGCTGGGCAGGGCCCGGGGGCCCCATGTTTGGGGTTCCCAGAGCAGATCTCACGTGTTGAGAGCAACAGCTACCAGCAGCCCCTTAGCTGTGAGCTTGGGGCCCCACCCTGCAGGGGGTCATCTCCCCCAGGAAGGGGCTGCCCTTGGGCATGTTCCTGGGGAACCCTGTAGTCTGTGTTCTCGGGACAAAATTGGGCCAGGCCCTCCAGGGCCGCGCGTTTTTTTCTACTGTAAACGTAGCAAGATATGTATATGAATATGTATATGTACATGTATATGTAAGATGTGTATATGTATAGCTCCGTAGCGCTCTGTAGAGCCGTGTAGATAGCGACTCACATGTGCACACATGTGTGTGCAATCTAGTTTAACCCCATGTTGCCAGGATACCCAGGTCACTTCCATCCAGCGACCTGCCTTGGCCCCCAGGCTGCCACTGCAGGGTCTGGGAAAAGTCCTCCCTCCAGCCCTCAAGGAAGACCACTCCCAGGACCTCGCAGCTGGCCCTCCTCTCTCCATCACTGTCTACACCCCATCCCAGCCTGACCTCCCCATATCGAAGCGGAAGGCCCCGGGCATGCCTGTCCACACCAGGCCTCCACGGTCCTGTTTCCCCATCTGTGAGTGGAGGGGGGACTTGCACTTACTGAGCCTGCTCTGTGCTGAGCACGGTGTCGCACTTTAGAGATAGCCTCTTCCATTCTCATGAAGACGCGAGGTACCATCACGCAGCTCGGGTGCTAGGCAGAGCTGGGACTGCTCTGAGATTGCCATCCATCCCACCCGAGGCCAAGGCCAGAGTCCTTTCATCACAGAAGTGTATGCAGTGGGGTGGAGTGAGATGGTCCCCAGCATGGTGCAGAGGGAAGAGGCCAGGTCCAGGGGTCAAATCCCAGCCCTGCCACTTCCTAGCTGTGTGACCTGGGGCAAGTTACCTGGGCTTTCTGTCTGCTACCTCCCGCGGGAGGTTCTGCCTCACCGGTCCTGAGAGGGCCCCGGGTGGAATGCCCAGCCCAGCACAGGGCACAGGTCAGGTGCTGTATACAACATGCCTCTCACCCGAGCCTGCTGCCCCAGCAAATGGGCGAGAGCCTAGGGAGCTTTGCTAAGGGCGTCAAGACTTACATCTCAGGACTTCGGAGGTGGCCGGGCCTCCTGAAAGGCCCAAGGAAAGTTCATGGCCAGTGGAGGCTTCAGCAGGCCTTGAGAGGGAGAAGGGAGTGGAAGGTGGACGTGGAGTTGAGGCTTTGGGGGGATCCCCAGGCTGGGGGCTGGGGAGAGGGCCTTAGCAGGCTAAAGGGGTTGGTTGGGGTTGGTTCTGAAGGCGACTGGCAGCTATAGCAGACCCCAGAGTGAGGGCCAGTGCGGAAGCAGTTCAGATGCTGCCCCAGACAGGATCCTTCCAGAGCCAAGATCAGTGGTCTGTGTCCTGTCTAGAGGGAGCAGGTCTGGCTGCGAGACCCACACAGGGAGGGCTGCTCCCACCTGGTCCATCCAGAGCCTGCCAGGATGTTGGCAAGGCCAGGTTTGCCTCAAGCTGTGTGGAGATGTGGGACAGGCTGGCTTCTCCACTGATGGGCTGTGGGAGTGAGCGGGAGGCAAAAATCCAGGAGGGCCGAGGGGGAAGGGTCCTGGCATCCGAGGTAGAACTAGGGACTGAACAGACGGGGCTAGAGAAGCTCCCTGAGGCCTGGGGAGTCTTCAGAACTGGAAGGGTTGCAATGGCCTCCAGGTGAGCTTGACACACTCCTGCCCCCAGGGAGGGCAGCTCAGAGGAGGAGGCAGGCTAGGCCTGGGGGCGGCAGGGGTGGGGGTCCAGGGGCATAAGGAGGGAGCAGCCCCCTTGCCATCAGGGCCTGGCCCACTGCCCTCTTCTCCCCACGCACACGCATTTTGTACAAGCTCCACCCGGCCTGGCCTAGCCACTCCGCATAGGCTGGAAAAGCCAGGTGCGGTCAGCGGGCCCCCATCCCCAAGCTCCCACAATTTTCGAATCTTCCACTTTTAAAACAGAAAACGGTCAATGCACCGTGTTGTATATTTAAATAAAAAAATTCCAGAAGATGCTGCCTTCTTCTGGGGGCCAGGGGTGGGGTGGGTGTGAGCCTAATAAGGACCGCCGTGATCCCAGGAGTCTGGTGTGGAGGCTGGTTCTGGGTGGGAGGAGCACGTGTGGGCACTTGTGTGCGTGGACCTGGGCCCCCACGAGCATGCACGGGTGTGCACCGGAGGGTGTCAGGCCTGGCTCCGGATGCAGGCGTGCACGGGCTTTCGGGCTGGTGGGAGTTGAGGAGGGTGAGAGTGTGGGTCCTCCATCTGCTGCGGAGGAGGGGAACGGGTCTGACTCAGACCCCACCCCAACTGCCAAGGCTCCAGGCCCCCAGGGTCCCCGGTGCCCCCTGCCGGAGGAGGTGGCAAATGTGCACATGAAGCCTTCTGCCTAGATACTGAGGAGGGAGATGTCCTCGGCCTGTCAGCCGGGCCCTAGGGAGAGGGAGGAGCGCTGGAGACAAGGGACAAGGCTGGGGCAGGATGTCAGGGTGGCTGAGAACGTCCCAGCCACTGGGACAGCACAACTCTGCTTGGGGGAGGCCTGGCACCTACTCCCCACCGTGGGGCTGCTGGGGGTATGAGCGCTAGGCCGGCCCCCCCAGATGATCCATTCTGGTTCTAGAGGTCCCCAGGGTCCCCACAGGCACTGGGACTCTGATGTAGGGCAGAGGGCTGCCACGGCAGAGCCCTGGTGGCACGGGAATGCCTGCTCGCCTGCAGAGGGGGAAGTCCTGGGCAAAGGGCAGGGAACCCATCGCTGTCTGCCAGCTGGATGTGGTTTCCATGGTAACCGGCCTGGGAGTCCAGTTGCTAGGGAGGCAGCTCAGCAGGCAGGCGTCCCCATGACAACTGCCCCCTGCGGCCAGGCAGCAGTGGTTCCCCAGGAACCCCATGGGGGTAGCAGAGACAGGTGCAGGCTCAGGTCATGTGGGGTCACCGTGTTGGAGCCAGCCCAGCCTGGCCCCTGGGGCTGTGGGGACCCTCTGTGGACAGCCAGCCACTGTGATGAAGGCCAGCTAGAACTCTGGGCTCCAATGGCTGACTCCAGAAAAGTACCTACTGTGAGCCAGGTTCTGGCCGCTGGCTGGTACCCCACCTCCCAGCAACTCTGCGGGACGGATTCGCCTCAAGTACAGTGAGCCGATGAGCAGCACAGGAGGGTGGGCTGGCATGGAAGGAGCCGGATGCACACCCAGGGCCCGGGACTCAAAGCCTCCCCTTCCCACCTGGTGGCAAAGCGAGGGTAAGGGACTGCCCCTACCACGTGTGCTTGTCTGGAAAGAGGGAAACGGCAATAACCATGACCACAAGCCAGCAGGCCTCCTCGCCTGGCCGCGAAACTGCAGTTCTGCAAAGAGTCGGTGAGACCCTCTCCCACCTCGACATGCTCCAGCCCCAGACACTGGCTGTGGTGACCGTGGCCAGCACCTGGGCAGGCCTGGGGCACCCACCCTGTCTTCATGGGGCCAAGTCGTTGGAGGTTTTCAAAGACCAATATTTTAAGAATTGGGGGCCAGCAGGAAAATGAATGAAACCCCTCCCTGGAGGCGATGTCTCCTCCAGCAGTGACTTCCCACTCCCCTCAGCCAGTCTCCCCGGGAGCTGTTCCAGTGCTCCCTCATTTCTGCCCCTGGGGGTCCCATCTCCCCTTACTGAAGTCCGTTTCTGCCTCTCCCCCTCTGGGCTCTGGACCAGTGCACCAATGGCTGGGAAAGCCAGGGGCTGCTTCTGGGCCAGTCGAGTCGCTCTTGGGGCAGGGGTGTCCTGCTGGCCCGCCCCCCCCCCCCCCGGCCCCCACCCCCCCCCCCCCACACACACAAACACACACACACACACACACACACACACACACACATACACAGCAAGCAAACAAACAACGCAAAAAAATACCTTCCTAGTCCATGTCTTCTCTTACATTCACAGCAAAATTCTTTAAAAAAGAAGAAAATAGTCACTCTGATTTTTAAAAACCTACTTTTAAAAGAGTGTGAATAGGCCACTCTTTCTTATTTCCAGAACTTTAACTCTCTCCATCTCTCTTCTTCACAAGAAATTGTATTCAAATAATTTTGTTAATGATCAAAATAGGATTTATATATTACCTGTATCTTCTTCTAGGATTTTCTTGCTATTGTTAGATTGAATCTTTAATCTGTTTGGAATGTATTTTGGTATGAGGTATAAGGAAATAATTCTATTTCTGTTTGTCCCTTTTTAAAAAAACAAAATGTGATGAACTAAAATTTAATTTTAAAGAAGGAAAAGTAATTGTCGAATTTATAATCTAAATACTTTTTATTTTACTTAAACATTATTTAGTTTGTTGAGATTATACCTTATTTAATGTTTTTAATATTGGTGTTATGCCTTTTAAAAATTATAAAATTATTTTCGTGTGGCATGGGTTCCCGCCTGCCCCGCCCCCCCCCCCCCGGCTCCATCCTGTCCTCCATCCTTTCTGTTCAGCCTCAGCTTCAAGGGATCTTCAAGGTGGGTGCTCTTCGGGCCTCTGGCCTGGGCCCCCATGTCCACAGTCCATTCACGTACCCAGAATAACCTCACCCGTGACTGGACGCCCCCTAAGCACCAGCCTAGGCAGATCACCCTCTTCCGGTCGACCCTGGCTCTCCTCTTCTCCCACCAATCTGTGTTCTCCCATCTGAGTCCTCTGTAATTTCGCTTAAATTTTTCTTGACAGTGGAATATTTCATACACACAGAGGTTGTAAGACATAAATAAGATAAAACATAGGACAGTCTGAGGCCAATCTCTGTTTTAGAACGGAAGGGGCTGGCCCCATTCTTCCTTAGCCTAGTGATTAAGGAAGCCAGATCCCACTCACAACCACAGTTCAAATCTCAACCCTAGTGACTTGAAAAACACGCATGTGCATGCCCCAAATCCCAGCAAGATGGAGAGCCGAGGGAGGAGGGACTGCAATGTGGCCAGGCCCCGTGGGGTGCTTTCTCCCTTCTCTCCGTCTCCATGTCTCTGGTTGAGCACACACACCCACTGGCAGTGAAAAGAAGAGAACATGAGGAATCCCTCTGAAGACATCCATACTGTTCTCCACCTGGATCCCTGTTCTCGACCTCCCAGGAAAACCACTTCTTGGAATGCTGCATTCCCTTCTCAGCCTCCTTTTCCTGCGGAACACACATCGCTAAACCACGTACACACTTGTGTACCAAGGTAGGTGCGCAGTGGCTGGAAGAGGCTGCCTCTGTGGGGAGGAGGCTTTTAATCACGTTCGGAGATGCTGATGCATGGTGATGATCAGAATCAGTCCAAGGACCGGCTTCATGCTGTAGCGTTCACACACTGCTCCAGAGAAGCCGGAGCCATGATGGCCACGGTTCGAACTGTCAGCCTGGTCAGCCTGAAATGCATACGGGCACCCACTATCCAAAGGCTGGTGGGCAGGGGACTCCCATGGACTCCCACATGGCCAACCTTAGTCTCGGATCTGGAGTTTTGACAATGACGCCAGGTACATGTGTGTGCCTAAAATCCCAAGAGGAGAAGGGATTGTGGCATGGCCATCCCGTCTAGAAGATGATTTCTCACTTTCCGTCTGTCTTTCTGGTGAGTCCATGTGCTCTATGGCAGTCAACCAATCAATCAATAGAGCAAGCTCCTGTGAACATTCATGCTCAAATCTTTATGCAGATGTGTATTTCAGAAATGTATCTTTTTAAGGTTTTTGCCACAGGGTGCATGTGCTACCTTGAGAGAGACAGAGGGAAAGTGAGAAACCATCCCTCGAGGGGGACGATCATGCCACAATCCCTTCTCCTCCATTCTTCTCCTAGGATTTTGGGCATACAGGCACATGCGCTCAGCGTGATTTTCAAGTTGCCAGGTTAGGGACCGGAAGTGCGGCTGGCCATCTGAGAGTCCAGTGCCTTAACCACTAAGCCACATGCTGGCCCCTAAATTTTTAACTGACAAGATTATATACATTTATTGTGCAGTTGATGTTTTGAAATACGCGCGTACATGGTGGAATAGCTAAACTGACCTAGTGAGCATATGAATTACCTCGTACACTTATCATTGCTTTGTGGTGAGAACACATAAAATCTGTTCTCTTAGCGATACTTAAGATGGATGTGGATTGCTGTTGATCCAGAAGTATATATATCCAGAAGTGGCATTGCTGGGTCACATGATGAGCGTATTTTACCTTTATAAGAAACTGCCAGATGATTTTCCAACGTTGCAATATTGTTTTGCATTCGCAGCAGCAACTGCCTGAGAGTCCAGTTAGAACCTGGTATTGTCAATCCTTTTCACTTTGACTAATGTTAACTCCTGGTTTTAATTTGCATTTCCATGATGACCAAAGATGCTGAGCGTCCTTTGAGTGTTTTTTGCCATCCACACATCTTCTTCATAAAGTGACTTGAAATCTTGACCCACTTGTTTTTATTGGGTCATTTTTTAAATATTGAGATGTAACCGATACATCTGGGGTACAAGTCCTCCCTGAGACAGATGTTTTGCAAATATTTCCCCTTGTTTGTGGCTTTCCTTTTCATTTTCTTAACCGTGTCTTTCAAGAAGTAAACAATTTCATTTTTGATGACATCTAACTTACCAGTTTTTTCTTTTATGATTCGTGCTTTATGACAAGGGAATTAAAATAGTGCCCTAGAAAATACCTACTGGACACAAAATAAGGCGGTAACAGGAGAAACCCTGAGACATG